ATATAGTTAATTCCTTATGTTTATTATATTCTACCCTTGAAATTGTTTTGGCTCTCTTATTGGTAAAAAAGCAAAAAAGGCCCTTTTGAGTTAATAACTTTTAAATGTATTTCAAAGTGATTTTCATCAATTAAAATGTAGTCACCTTCACTATGATGTCACTTTTGTAAAATCCATAGATTAGAAATAATTGAAAGCTGCCTGAATATGCGATATGCCTGTCTTCGATACGCTTGTTTCCTCCACTCCCATTGAATGACAATAAAATTGGATGAAATAAAATATGTGATATTTATTACAATATGACAAAAGTATGGAAATCGACTTCAAACAAATATCAATAGGTCATTCGCTGGGCTATGTCTGTACTTCTAGAAAACGAAACTATGTAATTCGCAATTTTGTACGTTGTGCAAAATTTGAAGTCAATCTGACTAACATGCGGGGTTTGATGCCCAATTTACTTAAAATCGGACAAAAATATAAATGGAAGCTATATCCAAATATGAACCGATTTCAACGAAACTTGTCATAGGTTAGGTTATACTAATTTCAGTACATATATTGGTTCCTTGGTGCGTCAATTACTTAAAATCAATTTATAATAAGGGAGCTATATCTAAATCTCAACAAATTTTCAGAAAATTGGCACACATAATTCTGGATTAAATTCAGTACGCTATGCCAAATTTCGTGCAACTCGAAATATATATGTGGACTTTGGTGCACCATTTACATTATCTCGGACGAAAATATATATGGGAGCTATATTTAAATCTGAACCGATTTTCACGAAACATGGCAGACATTACTCTGAACAAAATTCAGTACGCTATGCCAAATTTCGTGCAAATCTAAAGATATATACGGACTTTGGTGCACCATTTACATGAAATCGGACGAAACTATATATGGGAGCTACATATAAATCTTGACCAATTTTTACGAAACTTGGCAGACATCATTCTCGTCTCAATTCAGTACGTTGTACTAAATTTCGTGCAAATCGACAGATATATAGTGTCTTTGGAGCACCATTTACCTTAAATCGGATGAAAATATATATATGGAAGCTATATCTAAATCTGTACCGATTTTTCCCAATTTCAACAGGGTTCGTCCTTGGGCCAAACAAATGAGCTGTGTCAAATTTCATTCTAATCGGATTATAAATGCGACCTGTACTTTGTTTACAATTTAACACCAACAGACCGACGGACATCCATAAATCGACTCAGAAAGTGATTCTAGGCATATTCTCAAAAGGAACTATGGGATTATCTCGTTTCCTTTTGCCTGTTACAAACATATGCACAAAGCCATAATACGATGTACCACAGTATTTTGAAGGGTGTAATGAACTGTCACAGTGGCTGAGTATACGTTTCGCAATAACTTTAAAGCACAACGTAATCATCGAAGAAATGAAACAATTTTATTGCCAGTGAATGATGTAGCCGGATTGAATGAAAAAATACATATCTTACGGGAAGTTGTACTTAAATCAGGACACTTTGCAAAATTTGTCTCACTCGTTCAAACTTTAGGAGTTCGGTACATCATTTCCATAAAATCGGAAGAAAATATTTATGGGAGCAATATCTAAATCGAAACCTATTTTCCCCCAATTTTAATATGGTTTGCAAAATGTGCAAAATTTAATCCAAATTCGAATCAGAAAAGCAAACTGTACTTTGTTCACAAGAATACATAAACGGACGGACGGATAGACGAATATGTATAAATCGACTCAGAAAGTGATTCTATGCATATTTTCAAAAGGAGCCAGGGGCCCCGATTCCTTTTGTCTGTTACAAACATATGCTGAAAAACAAAATACCCTTACCTCAGTGTGGTCAAGGGTAGATATAAGCAAGCCTTCTTGTGACCCAATTTAGATATCATGGAGCGTCTGATAAATATGTATGTAAATCATGCGACATGCGCTACTGTAGGACTCAGATGGATGAGGTATATAAAAGAGTTGTCAGGCATGACCCACATAAAGCACTAGTAGAATTCAATTCATATGATTTAATGTTAGTCAATATCAATACAGTTCCAGCTGTCAGAATTGCATTAGCTAGCTTAATCAATCCGTATGAGCCCGTTTATCTGTCAATTATATTGATGTATTTCCAAGGATATTCGAGCTATACTAAGGTATTTACAGCGGTGAAAGGAATACTCGGACAAGTCCGACTATATTGAATCGTTTACTGCTTTTCTTTGTTTCTCGTGAACTTAATCCAATTCGATGTATTTTACAAAATCTGGCAACTTTACATAAGAAAACCATATTACTTCCATTGCGGTTAACAGTTAAAAGATAGATGTTAAGTTTTTTTCTTGTTCTCTAACTAACGTTGGCCCATATACTTTACAGGTTTCGTTTCTAACTTCTTCGTTGTTATTCTTTGTTCTGATTCAGTAACAGATTCGCTTATGACGCCGGAATATCAAATTTACCATGAATGTGCTCATGTTTTATTGTGCTGTCCCCTTGCATTTTGCTGGTATTTCACAGCAGTATTACTTTGACGGCAAAAAGGAAGAAGAAGTATTTTCTTTGAATTCAGTGTGACAATATAACATGCAAAATTGCCATCAGCATTTTACCATACGAAGAACTTATAACCATACTAATGAACATATGTATATTTATAACTATTTGATTATACTGTGTGAATATTAAGGAGGATTTAATACTTTTAATTTGATTTGCCATGCTTTAATAGTCCACCATAGAATTGTCTTAAAATAGAAAAGACTTGACAAAGTGCATTTAAAGAAAGTGCTTTATAGAACAAGAAAGTAAGAAGGAGGTTTTGGCACATCACCAGTCAAAAAGTTCAAAATTTGATACCGTTCATCACTTTGGCTACATACAAGAGATGCTTATGTTTACAATATCCTGTAGATAGAACAGAACATTACAATAGAATCGGACGAAATTAAATTTAGAAATTTGAGATAATAAAAAAACATAGGCTCATCGGTTCACCATTTGCATAAACCGATTTCCACCAATTTTAACACGAAACATTCTACACTAAATTCCATACACGCTGCCAAAATTTTGTTAATATAGAACAAACATAGGCTCTTCGATGCACCATATACATAAAATCTGAGGAAAATATAAACGGTATATTTCTGAATCTGAACCGATTTTTACATAACTTCCCGGGCGACAACCTGCAGAAGTTTCAGTACGCTTGTCAAAATTTGGCCTCAATTGGACAAACACTGGCAGTATGGTGCTCCACTGACATAAAATCGGACGAAACTATGTATGTATCTCAATCTGACACGATTTCAACAAAACTTTACGGACATTAAAGAGTAAAAATTTCAAAACGTGGTGCAGCATTTGAAACATAAATGCGATCTGTACTTTGCTCACAAAACTACATGGACGGAGGGACAGACTGACATGATGAATGATGTCAATACTAACCACAACCAAAACAATCAAAGATATCTTTACCCAACATGATATAGGAAGTGATGCAAATGTGGTATAGGTTGGTAATGTGGTATAGTCACTTTTTTTGTAAACTGAACATTTTAAAATAACTGAAACATGTTTTATGGTTTACTGTTCTCAAAAAAATAAGATAGCAATGATCTGTTTAATTTATTTAACTCATGTTGAGAATCAGTAGCAAAAATTATAATTTTTCATGAAATTGACTTTTCATGAATTGTTTTACAGATTTATTTTAATCTTTATTATGAAATCATAAAAATAATCAGTAAGTACTACAAATCAAATAATATGCGCGATTGCACCACATATTTACCAATTTAGGAAAAAAACTAGACAATTATTCAGTAATGCAGGTAATGTGGTATACCTGGAGTCTGTATGAAAAAATGCCAGCACAAGACAAAATTTCATTACTACATTTGTCCTCTACGAGCGCCTACCATGCATCACAAGAATGAAAAACAAAGGTTGTGGGTTTTTAACTAATTCTCCGTACAAAAATTAAATATTGCCATGTGTAGACATTATTATATAATAAAAATTAAAGTTCCACTCCACGTATCCGTTAAAAATCTTAACAGACATAAATCTCAAGCTAATTCTTATTCATTAAAAACAATGAATTATATAAGATATCAATTGGAAGTGAAAATTATACTATACCACATTAACATCATGTGGTATACCACATTACCTGCACTTTTTTTAAAATCACCTTTAATGGAATTTCAAATATTTCCTCAAATATCTCTTAAATTGTTAGAATAATATTATTTTCAAATTGATACATGGAAAGACAACACGTGTAGCTTGTTAAGTGTAAAATTTCAATTTAATCGGATAAAAAAAATTGGCAATCTAAAAACAAATGGGTATACCACATTTGCATCACCTCCTATTCAGATTTTTATGCTCTAGAAAAAACAAATAAAAACTTTCCGGGATATATTAAAACATTAATATTGTGATACAGTTGAATCCGCTTAATTGAAAATCCAGTAAGTTTGTTTCAATTATCCGAGGTTTCCAATAAAGCGAAGTCCGGATAATTTATATATGTTTCATTTAACCGAAGTTCGGTTAATTCAAAAGTGTTTCAATTAAGCTTCCTGAAATTCGAATATCTTTAAATCAAACACTTAAAATTATAGAACGTAAACAAAGTTTATTAAATTCATCACAATAATATATACATATATAATGTATATGTATTTCTTAAGTGTAAACACATTAGTTAAAAATATATATTTAGTCTTTTGGTTTCATTGATATATTTTTAATGTGTTTCACACATTACTTAAGCAAAAAAAAAAAAAAAATTTCATTTCATAACAAAAACTGATAAATACATTTGATAACTAGAAACACATTGTCATAAATCAAGTATTGAAACCAAAATAATGTTTAATTTTTGTTTGGTTTAAATTTTTTATGTTTTCTTTGTACAGAAGTTTTTCAAGGTCTTGTAATTTATTTAAGGCACTAGAATTTTCAATGAAAAAATCTTTTAAATTATTGATGGATAATAGAGCTTCTTTAATAGGGGTTTAGTAGGCTTTATAATGTCTTCATCACTGTTCTCTTCTAATCCTTCGTCCACATTTTGAAAGCATGACACTTGTTCAATAATATCTTCGACAGTAAATTCTCCGAAACATTCCACATTTTCATCAATATCAATATGTTGGTCGATTTCTTCTCCTAAAGCCTCATAAAGTGTATCACTTACATCAGTCGTATTTATTTCAATACCAGGAATAGATCCAGCTTTTTTGAAACAGTTGGAAATAGTTTCTGCCGTCACTTTCTCCCATGCCAATTCCACCAACTTCAGCGCCTCCAGAATGTCAATTGTTTTTGCAAGTTCTTCCAATGAAAATCCACATTCTAAATGAAGATGTTGTTTTGCCACAATGCTCTTCCGATATTGGCATTTCAAAGATCGAATGATGCCCTGATCTAATGGCTGAATTAACGACGTCGTATTTGCTGGCAAAGATACTATCTTTATATTATTCAAATTAATTCCATCACTTAGTTTATGACAAGCTGCATTGTCCACAAAAATTAACACTTTATTCCCAATAGCTTTAAACTTGGAGTCCAGCTCCTCCACAATGTTGGTTAATATATTGGAAGTCATCCATGCTTTTGCGTCAGCAAAATATTTCACAGGAATTGTGACTGATTTTTTAAAACAGACTGGTGATTTAGATTTCCCTATTGAGAAAATGAAATTGTCAGTGCTAGTGGAGTTTGCAACCAACAGAAGCGTAATTCGAAGCGTAATTCGATGATCGGCATTGTATATTGCCTGCTGGGTATTCTTCAAGGTATGCAGGTAAGATATTTTGCAACCAATCATTTGCTGACTCCGTATTTGCAGAAGTTTTTTCACCGTGCGCATTTTTAAATTGGGTATTTACTCTCTTCTTCCACCTTTCCAGCCATCCATTTTTTGGTACAAAATCCGCATTAAGTTTTTCTGCAAAATAAACAGCCTTTTCTAGCAATAGAGGTCCAGTCAATGTGGCTTGTTTTGATCGCATTTGATTAAACCACACAAGAAGAGCATCTTCGACTTCTTTGTTACTACCCTTTCTTATACGTTTTTTGAAAAATATTTTTGTTTTGATTAACCAAACTGGTAATATTTTCCTTATCTTTTAAGATTCTGGAGAGTGTTGCTGGACTAAATTTGTATTCATCATAAATTTCCTTTTTGGTTGTTCCAGATTTTATTTCCTTTAATATTTCTATTTTTTTTTTCTTAAAAGTAAGGCAAATGTACTTGTTTGCTGAACCCTAAAACCAACATTTGTTCATTTTAAAAAAATTGTTGTTTACCTTTTTGGGAGACATTTCTTTTCAAGTTAGTTTGAAACGCAAATTTTAACCAATGGCTGAATAAAAAAAACAAACGAAGAATGCGAGGCCGGCACTAAATTAATGCCTGAAGGCGTTGAATTTTAGTTCGTTTAAGGGAACCCCACCCATTCTCGATTTTAATTTTTCAAGATTTTCAATGGGCTGGTAAATCAATACCAATGCTTGTTAAGGTTTGTAACTTTGCACATATATATTTGAAGATTTAAAAGAGAAGAAAAATAATTTACAAAAAATGTTTGTTATTGCTTTGTTGTTGTTTTTTGTAATTAAAGAAAAGTCCTTATTTTTGATGGCGGGCATAATACCTCCACAAATTCCAACGGTGTTAGAAAGAGTACATGTCTGGCTCTCGTATGAACTAGGATTATTGACTTCGCTCTAAAATTAACAAAATGGCGGACCTTTGAAAAAATATTTTTGGAAAATCGCCGATTTTTGACCAAAAACCAAGTTAAAAAATAAGGAAGATCTTCACCGATTGTTTTTATCCTAGTTCATACGAGAGCTATGCACTCCCAGAGAAACGTTGCAAAATTTGGAACCGATTGGATTATTAGTTTTTGAGTTATCGTGCCCGCCATTCGCAAAAAAATGTTTAGAGAAAAACGCGTTTAAAGTTTGAGAAGCCCTTCAGCCGTCACTTGATGCTGACACAAAAAAGCGGCTATATCTTCCAAAGTTCTTGAGATTTTCACTTGAAATTTTTTGAGACATTCTTTAATCAGTGTAGATTCGAATTATATCAAACAAAATTTTGACCCCGAGAATGGGGGGGTCCCCTTAAGTGTAAAATTAGTCACCACGTAAAACTAACGTCGCTGAAACGCAATGCATATCTTTTCTCAATTAAGCGGAGTTGATTTCGAGGAAATATAACTTTTTGGATGTCATTAATGTTTCAATTAACCGATTTTTCATTTAGGCGGATTTTCAATTAAACGATGTGAAATGTGTGAAAAAATTAAAGAATTTTTAGTGTCTCACATTTGTTTTGAATTAGCCGGAGTTTTCAATTAAACGGTTTGCAATTAAGCGGATTCGACTGTATATCAGAATATTGACCTATATTAATGACTTTCTGATAATAAATATTATATCCTATGTAATCCTCTAGTGTCTACATATTGCTTACAAAATTCATCAAGGACCATCCAAATATCTAAAATTGTATGAGAATTTTATAAATCACTTACGTCATAACGATGAAGCTAAAATCATGTACTACGGACACGAAACTAATATATCATATGAAAACTAATATATTAAGAAAATATATTGTTCAGTTTCACTCATAATGGGGGAAGATATATAACATAACATTGCAATGACACTCAGCATCTTTTCAAAATACAAAACACAAATATGTTTTTCCAAGTTAATTATTTGAATAATTGCTACTAAATAGGCATCAGTAGTGTCGTCAATCTCATGGGATGATGTTCTGTGGAAACTAAGAAAACTAAAAATCATTTATAAAAGCTTATAGGTAGCTTATTTTAATTTTATTACTTCTCGCTAACATTTGAAGATATCAGGGCATTTTTCAAAAAAAAAAAAAAAATAAATAAATAAAAAATGTACATATGTGCATGAAATTGCCAGTAACTATAACTACTGGTAGGATCAAATATTGATCTGGTCCATTTGTTATTTAATGGTTATTTTGGTGGCCAGGTGACATTCCCACGACAAGAAATTACGCAACCAGTCGTTCCACCGTCGTCTTCGAAAAAGTAAGTTCCAATCAACCTCTATTAACATACCCGTAGTTGGACGACTATAAACCATAATATCTTGTTATACCCTCCACCACAGTATGGAGGGTATATTAATTTTGTGTTTCCGTTTGTAACTCATCGAAATAATCATTTCCGACCCTATAAAGTATATAAACTAAAACTAAACATGCAAACCACCCATCATTATGCTGCCCAAGCAGTCAGTCAAATCAACAGGAATCTGACACCAGGGCAGTCATCCGCCACACACACGCGCGCTAATACCAGCGTACTGCAATTGATGACTCGGCGTAACAACGAGCACGGCCAAGCTACAGTAAAATAATAGTTTTAAGTACTCAATTATAATTATAAACCCAACATATAACTCCCATATAACTGTACCCCCATTTTCGGTATTGTGGGGTTATTGAGCACGATTTTCAACCGAATTCGCTGAAAATTGCTACATTGGGTTCTTTTTGGGTACCAAATATCTCCACGGAAAATAATAAATATAGGTCTATTTTTTTCGGGTAGTCCCCATATAAGGGCACGCCTAATTTTCGGTATTTTGAGGTTCTTAGGCGCGTTTTCAACCGAATTCGCTGTACTTTGGTATATTGTAGTTGTATATGGTAACAAATCTCCCTACATCTCGGCCATTGATTAGGCATATACCTCATATAATTATAACCCCAAATATTCGCTAATCCCAACACTATGTAATCTAAATTGCAGTAGTTTGAGGATTGTGTATTCTGCCATGCGTTATTAGTATCAGTCCACGCTTGTGGTTTCAATTAAAAATGTCTAAAGTTTTATTTGGTGTACATAACGGTTTACATTAACCTATTTGTAGAATTATCGGTATAGGTTCACTTTTTGGTATTTTCCCTATATATTAGCATTTCAAGTTTCTGTCAGTATACCTATGGTAGAGGGTATCACAATTTCAGACCGGCTGAACTTATGGCTTTTTCACTTGTTAACTTTCAACTTATACGAAAAAAATGGTTAACAACTTAGTTGGCAAATGTCGAAGTTCAATTTCACACAGAGCGAAATATCCTTGGCTTTGAATAATATAACGTCGTTCGTTTCTATTTATCTAAATGGCCATCGTCAATTCTTTATTGGCATATTTAAGAAATAGGTACTTTATATATAAAACGGAAAACTAATCAAAAAACTTTTTCCATCGTAAGGATTGCAAAAAAATAATGTTAAGTATTCCTTTGATTGCAATAATATTTCCACAGCAATAAATCGTTCACCTAGCCAAAGTTTTTATAGGTATTTTTTAGATCTGCATTCATGTCCTCAACTTGAATTTAATGAGTTCTCTGCAAACAAATGCCGAACAAACAAAACGTACAAGACGTTTTCAACTAATTGACTTCAAACTACCAACTAAAACTATTGCAAAATCCAAACTAAAACTTGCGTTGTTTTGAATGCTTCATTTCGCATCGTTAATGGGAAATTGAAGGATGGTAATCAACTTCATCTCTTTTAGTGAACATAGGTCTTATTGGGTATGGACAAATTTCTTTGCACAACTACGATCTTGATATTTTATTCCATGACAAAAATTGAAGGAGTGTATATTATAAGCAAAAGAGATTTCAAATTGTTATTGCTGCACAGATTACTCTACTGATTTCCTAAGTAAATACTTTGTTGTGAATTTCTACCTTCATGCAGTTTTCGTGGAAATTAATATATTCATGAACACGGAATTTCTAATTACAAAATTCCGGAAAATTGGTTGCACGAAATTCCGTTTTGCATTTTTACAAATTGTTTACACATCCGAACAATCTTCTGGTACAGTCATTGTCGAAAAGCGCCTGCATCCACCACTATTTTAATTCATACAAATTTAATTAAATTATCAAGGCATAGTATAGCGTAGCTAGGTACGCTAATGCTGATTGTAAAGAATTTTGTTACTTTATTGTCTAAGGAAATAAGGAAATTTTTGGCAGTGTAAAATTATGTAATAAAATAAATTTTCAAGCGTAAATCTGTAAAAATATTGTTAGTGCAAGGATTTTCATAAAACCACCAAAGTCAGATATGATAAAATATGTTTTATAAATATTAAAAAAAAATTCTGAAAATAGTTTTACCGTTGTATGATCCTACCTAACACTTTTATTTCGAGTTTTTATAGTACACGCATGTGAAACGTGTTTATACCCCTCACCCCGCTGTGGTACTGGGTTTTATGTCTTTGTGCATATGTTTGTACCATTTTCGTCCGATTTAAGGTAAATGGGGCTCCAAAGTCCCTATACATCTTTCGATTTGCACGAAATTTTGCATAGGGTACTGAAATTGGTTCAGAATGATGTGTGCTAAGTTTCGTGAAAATCGGTTCAGATATAGATACAGCCCCCATATATATTTTCGTCCGATTTTACGTAAATAGTGCACCAAAGTCCCTATATATCTTTCGATTTGCACGAAATTTAGCATAGTGTATTGAATTGAGTCTAGAATGACGTGTGTCACGTTTCAAGAAAATCGG